TTATGACACTTTTAACACTGTACTATCAATTCTGAGAACATTTAACTCTCCTAATAAATAGATCTTCTCAAGAGCATGAACTGTATCTTAGTTATTTGCATTTGTCATGAAACTTACCCAGTGCCTAATACATAACAGGCCCACAAAGAATATATATAAAATAATAAAGGAATTGCTCACAAAAAAAAAAAAAAAGAAATGAGTGAAAGCTTTTACTTTCTATCAGGTATACTGCAATCTTATAGACCTAATAAGATGCATCAGGAATCCAATAGAACATAAATCTTCTCCTAAAGTAAAACTTCTAACAGGCCTCTGTAACTCCATCCATTTAATTTTTAAATCTTTACCCATTACAAGACTCAGCCCAACAACTGCTTTGTTCTCTTGTCTACCTAGGATGTTTGATTTGGACTCCAAATTTCCTCTGTGAATTCCTCCCACAGGCTCCAATGACACAGATGGCCTTTACCCAGATTAAAACTGGGGTTCTACCAGTCTGTAATTGAGGGGAAGCATGCATAAATATATCCCAAATAGTTCATCATGTTTGCACTGGATGGAAAAGGGTAACAGTTCTGCAATCAGAAGTAGGCTATAAAAATCATTTCCTTTCCTTGTCATTAGTTTTATGAACTTTTCCCAATAATGAGCTGAATCACTCCTTCATGCAGAAGAGGATTAAAAAAAAACAGAACAGTATTATACAAGTCAGAGGCAAACAGGATAGAAAAGCACATTAAATGTCAAACTGCACTCAGTACACCTGAAAGGAAATCCTCCAGACAAGGTTATAGGCTCAGGGGCATTGGGCTTGTAGACAGTGGGTCAGAGAATGGGGCAAAGGAGAAATGAGCAGCCAATTCGTTAGTCCACTGATCCATCACGTCAGGTCCCTTTCAAGATGGAACCTGCCCCCTTGTGGCTGTGAAGATGTGATCTGATCCAAACCCCACTAGACTGAAAAAAAAAAACACAAACCCATTGCCATGGAGTCGAAGCCGACTGATGGTGACCCCATATGTTACACAGTAGAAATGTGCTCCATAGTGTTTTCTTGGCTATAATCTTTATGGAAGCAGATTGCCAGGCCTTCTTCACCGGCACTGCTGGGTAGGCGTGAACCTCTAACCTTTAGGTTAGTAGTTGAGTGCAAACCGTTTTTACCACCAGGGACCTTAGTAGCCTTACAAGCGCTCTACCTAGCAGGCTGCCAACTAAGTCTCTCTTTCAAACCTTGCATGTGGAAGACTCAAATGAGGAAAGAAAAATCTCCATGCTTTTGTTCAGGTTCTTCTCTGCATCTTTCTCCTGCTACTTAAATTCTCCAAAGTACAGGTTAGGGATTGTCTCCATTAAAAGCACTTGCCAACCACACCAACCCGGAGGGAGCCCCCTTCTTTGAAAATGGTGCTACAGCATCCACTCAGCATTTAGTTGACTGCCTCGTGTCTCTTGAATGAAGAGTGAAGTTGGGCTTTGGAATTAAAATCCCACTAAAACTACACACAACAGGAAACCAGTAAATCCCTAAAGGGCACCGGAGCACCAACAGCATGGAGAAATGGATGCTGAGCTGTCAAAAAACGGGAACACTCCATCCTACCTTGGTGAGTAGCATCTGGTGTCTTAAAAGCCTGTGAGCAGCCATCTAACATACTCCAGTGGTCTCACCCCTTTGGCAGAAAGGGAGAATGAAGAAAAAAGGATACAAGGAAAACATTAATCCAAAGGACTAATGGACCACAACTACCATGGCCTCTACCAGACTGAGTCCAGTACAACCAGATGGTGCCCGGCTACCACCACTGACTGCTCTGACCAGGATCACAACAGAGGGT